ACTTGACGCAGTTGGTACCAGAATTGATGATTGGACCAGGTTACGGAATTGAACCAGGTTACGGACGTGAACCAGGTAGGACCAGGTGACGGAATCCCATTGAGTGGTCCCACAACAGCCAGGGACGCAGTTGGTACCAGACTGGACACAGTTAGTTGGTACCTGTCTTGAAGATTGGACCAGGCTGGGCGGGGGGGGTTGGGAGGGTGGTGGCTCAGCTGTAGGTGCTGCCGGTTCAGGTGCCGATCCTGCTCGGCAGGTTGCTTGTGACTTGCTCCCACCATGGCGCGAAATGAGGAAAAGGCGCAGTCCATGCTCAACAGGTTCCTTACAGCGAAGCAAGAGGAGAAGAAGAAGCCCAAGGAGCGGCGGCCGTTCCTCGCGTCGGAGTGCCGCGATCTTGCTGATGCTGATAAGTGGCGACAGCAGATACTCCGCGAGATTGGCCGGAAGGTTACGGAAATACAGAACCCCGGTTTGGGGGAGCATCGGCTCCGGGACCTGAATGATGAGATCAATAAGCTCATTCGGGAAAAGACTCATTGGGAGATGAGGATCTTAGAGCTGGACGGGCCCAATTACGGGAAGCAGGCGCCCAAAATCTACGACAGCGAAGGCGGAGAAGGGGGAAGCGAAGTTGCGGCGGCCACTGGTAAGGGGACCGGGTATAGGTACTTTGGCGCCGCGAAGAACCTTCCGGGCGTCAAGGAGCTGTTCGACAAACCGGCGCAGCCGAAGAAGAAACGCTCCAGATATGACATGTTTAAGAGGATCGATGCCGACTATTACGGCTACCGCGACGACGAGGACGGGGTGCTCGAGAAGCTCGAGCGAGTTGCGGAGAGGGAGGCGGTCGAGAGGGCTGTCCGTGACTGGGAAAGAATGCAAGCTGTCAAGACAGATGCGCGGCGCAGTGTTGTCAGTGGGGAAGTAGCCAGGGTGGGAGAAGGAGAGGAGGAGGAGGAGGAGGAGGAGGAGGAGGAGGAGGAAGATGACAACGACGACGACGAGCACATGGAGGATAAGCAGCAGCGATCTACTGGAGCCTGGGGCAAGGTTTGGGAGGAGGCAGCCACCCATCCGCAGAGCGCGGGCAGAGAGTTCGTAGCTCATGTGCCCCTTCCTGATGACAAAGAGATTGAAATGCTGGTCCTGCAGAAAAAGAAGAAGGAGCTGTTGAGCAAGTACGCCAGCGATGAGCTTATCGCCAATGAGATGGAAGCTAAGGTCATGCTCAACTACATCCGATGACAGATTGCCAGGTCAGACAGGAACCGACGATGCTTGGCCATTTCTTTTGCTGATCTTTTTTTTTGGGGGGGGGCAGGAGTTTGGCCATATTGATTGAATGGAGGTAGCATGTTTTGCACAGATTCAATGCATTCAAGTTCTCGTAGTGTGTTCGTGTGGGGGAGGGAGTCGTTGGATTGAGATATCGTTCCAGGTGACGGCTGCAATCGCTGGAAAAGAGCAGGGTGTATCATCAATCAATCGATCGATCAATCCGTTATATTCGAATAGAACGCCCGGTCGTTATATTTGAATGTGTCATGGGCAGAGTGCCTTGTAGAGGGAGTGTACACGGGTTTTGAAGGGGGGCAAGTGGGGGTATACATGGGTTTTAAAGGTGGGGGGTGAAAGGGGTGATGACTTCCAAGGGGTATGCTTTGGTTTGATTTTCTGTTTTCCTTTTTTATTTCCGAATTTATGAGGAACACTGAAGTGACCCTCAGCCAAAAGTTGGTTGCATTGCAATTGTAGACAACATGTTTTTTTTCAGAGAATCGTTTTTTTTTTTTTTTTTTTTTTTTTTTTTTTTTTTTTTTTTTTTTTTTTTTTTTTTTT